TGTGCACAGTGACCCCAGCTCTAGACTCTGAGCCAGGAGGGCATGGTGGTTGCAGTGGGCAGAGGTTGGAGATCAGCCTGACCACAGAGCAGCTGCCAGGAGGCCGAGCCTAGAAGACATCTTTGGGTGGACAGCAGGCCCTGGGCCCCCACCGAGGGGAGGGGTAAACAGACACAGTTACCCCCTGAGGTGATTGGGCCTCCCGCAGCCTCCTTCTAACCCTGTCCTGGCAAAGCAGCCCGGGAGAGGGACAACAGGACTAGCACAGTCTGGCCTGGGTGGGGAGGCTGGCTAGGGGAGCGAGCTGAGGCGAGAAGCACTAATAGGTTATGTCAGGCTAGTGCTCTGGGGAGGGGGCCGCGCCTCTCAGCTCTGGCAGCCCCACCTGGGTCCCGCGCCCAAGAGCTAGGGCCTGGAGAAAGATACTGGCTTGTTTCTGAGCGCAGCATGAGGGCCAGGGAGGAGGCTGCTGGGCCCAGAGCAGAGAAGCCTCATTTAGCCATAATGGCCAAGAAGGTAGAGATGAAGGGACCCCCTGTCAGGTCCCTGTTGGGTGACAAACACAGAGACTTCTCCCCACATGGGCTAGGGGAGTCCTACAGGGAGGAAGCTGCAGGTTCTGTCCAAGCCCACGTGTAGCTTGGCTTGGTGGGGAGCACAGCCCCAGGGACCACCCCTGAGCTTTAGGAGGCCCCTCTCACTTCCTCCTCTGCTCAGACCCTCACTCCAGGGCTCTAAGATCCCATCCTCAAGTCAGGAGACTGATTTCTTATCCCTGTGTTCTCACTACTCTGCCCAGGGTGTTTCCAGCATCCCGCCATCCTGCAAGCTGCACAGTGATAGCCCCTAAAACTGCTGTCTCTCCTAGGGTTGGGATAGGGTCAGGAGCTGGGGGACAGGAAGAGACCTGAAAATGAGCCCCTCTCTCAGGGCTGTGGGATGAACGAGAGCTTAAGGAATTAGAGGGGGACTCAGTGCAAAGGGGGTGGGGGGAGTCAGTGAAAGGCCAGGGTCTCAAGCCTGGGACTGAGGAGGGGGCCCCTTGCAGTCATGGCAGGGCGGCCAGGGCCCTGTGTGTCTTGGCCCAGTGGGACCCCTGGGCCGCCAGGTATGTAACAATTCCAGCCATTTCCTGCCCTATTAATGAGAAAGGGGCTGATATAAATATACGCTCAGCATAAATAAATACAGGCCAGGCCCCGGACTGCATAGCAGACAGATTGCGTGGAGCTGCTGGCCAGCCCTTCAGCCAGTTCCCCCCACC